ATTCCTGCCACAGCTCTGCAGAGAGGCTCCACACGCCCCTGAGCCCATCCCCAGGGCTCCTCCTGAAGCTGAACTCGGGATTTTGGGATTTTTAAGCTCTGACTGCGGGTGAAGCCTGGGCTGAGAGCAGCCCTGGGCTTGTGGGGTGACCACAAATCCCAAAAACATGGCATTAGGGGAGAGCAGAGGAACAGCTCCCAGGCTTCCAGGGGGATCATCTGGGGAAAAGGAGCAGCACATCCCCCAGCTGAAGTGCCCTGGGATCACCTAAACCCATGAAATGGGAAGGGCTGTTTTTGGTGACCTATTTCTTCTGAAGTGGCAACCTGCCCTTTATCAGAAACATGAATTATTCATCTTCCAGGAGCAGCTCAAACCCTCACATAGTTTTGTCTTTTTTTTTTTTTTTTAAATATAAATGTATTAACAAATCAGGAAATCCAAAGCCCCATTTTAAAGGGGGAGAAGATTATTTTTTTTCCTCACTGCCAAGGGTTTATTTTCACTATTTCCACCCAGAACAGCCTTTTGTTTCCCCCCTGGCCCTTGCTAAGCTACAGTTCTGCAGGGCCACGCTCCTGAACGAGCCAGGAGGAGCTGAAACAGTCAAGTTCAGACTCTCTTAAGCTCCTGCCCAGCCCCAGGAACGAGGGAGGCCCATCCCTGGCACGAATCCTCCCTGTTCCTTGGCAGGGGCTGCCTTACGCACTCGCTCGACTGGATCCTGCTCAGGAGCTGCTCCAGCTTCTCCCAGACACAGCCCTGGCTTTCAAACACAGCAGCAGGAGCTGCTCCTTGCACAAAAGGGTCAATTTTAAAGGCAGGGATCCCATTCTCCCCTCTTCAAGCTGGGGAAGAAAAAAAAAATTAAAAAAAATCAGATTTTTACCTCGTCCAGCTCCTCCAACCCCACGGCCCTTCTGCTGCTTCTGCTGCTGCATCCCACCACGGCCTCTGCCCTTGGACACCACCTCCTCCTTCACCATGTCAATGATCTCGTCAGGGATCCGCAGGTATTTGATGGTGCTGCCACGGATGTAGCACTCTGGCATCCTCCAGAACTTGTCCCCGTCCTGTTGGGGAGCAACACGTGAGGCCACGAGGAAAACCTGCGGCTTTTGGGGCACTTTTAGGGATTTTGAATGTGTCCCTGTCCTGTTGGGGAGCAACACGTGAGGCCACGAGGAAAACCTGCGGCTTTTGGGGCACTTTTAGGGATTTTGAATGTGTCCCTGTCCTGTTGGGGAGCAACACGTGAGGCCACGAGGAAAACCTGCGGCTTTTGGGGCACTTTTAGGGATTTTGAATGTGTCCCTGTCCTGTTGGGGAGCAACACGTGAGGCCACGAGCAAAACCTGCTGCTTTTGGGGCACTTTTGGGACATTTTTGGGATTTTGAGCTTGTCCCCAGCCTGTTGAGGAGCAACATGTGAGGCCACGAGCAAAAACTGCTGCTTTTGGGTCAATTTTGGGACATTTTTGGGATTTTAAATTTGCCCCCAGCGTGTTGGGGAGCAACAAGTAAGGCCATGAGCAAAACCTGCTGCTTTTGGGTCACTTTTGAGACATTTTTGGGATTTTAAATTTGCCCCCAGCGTGTTGGGGAGCAACAAGTAAGGCCATGAGCAAAACCTGCTGCTTTTGGGTCACTTTTGAGACATTTTTGGGATTTTAAATTTGCCCCCAGCGTGTTGGGGAGCAACAAGTAAGGCCGTAAGCAAAACCTGCTGCTTTTGGGGCACTTTTGGGACATTTTTGGGATTTTAAATTTGCCCCCAGCGTGTTGGGGAGCAACAAGTAAGGCCATGAGCAAAACCTGCTGCTTTTGGGTCACTTTTGGGACATTTTTGGGATTTTAAATTTGCCCCCAGCGTATTGGGGAGCAACAAGTAAGGCCATGAGCAAAACCTGCTGCTTTTGGGTCACTTTTAGGGATTTTGAGCGTTTCTGGAGAAGGGGGAGAGCTCCAGCAGTCTTTGCTGGGAGCATTATCTGTAACCAGCTGTGGAAAATGGGGGGGGTTTAACTCCCCAAAAACACAGAGCCCCACAAACAACTGCATTTTCAGTTTGTTCCACAGCTGCCTCAAACAGCGGCAGAAAACGTCAGAAGAAGAGGGCGAGGAAACAAAGAGAAGGGAATTGAAAGTGGGAGCAGAGGCACGAGTTAAAATGGTGGTGAACAACCAATTCTGGAAAAAAAAACCCCGCAGCTGTGGCCAGGATTCTTCTCCAGCTGGGAGTCACCCCACTCCTTCACTCCTCTGGGGTGTGGAAGGAGCAGCAAGGCAGCTCTGGAGCCAGCTGGCTGTGGGACGTGAGCAGCTGAGGGGAAGAAGGAACTCACAACTGATATATTTATCTTTTTAAAAAAAATAAAAATTAGAAACCTTCAGGTGCTGTTTTGGAGCAGCCACCTCCCTGCCTCGCTTTCAGGATTTTTCCAGGGATACCCTAGGGCTCAACCCAGCAGGGAATAAGAACCCAGAGCTGAACAACAACTCCCTGGCCGTGATGTAACTGGGAGGAGGGACTGGGAACCGCCTGGCCCCGGCTCCAGCAGGGCCAGCCTGCAGCTGGGATGGCTCCAACCCAGCCATCCCCATGTGGAGCCTGCCGTGTCCCGGGAGAGGAGGGGAAAGCAGCACGCCCCGCTCCTGCTCTCTGGGGATGCACTGCTCTCGTTATTTAGGGCAGCTCCAGCCTGCACGGGCAAGCCCAGGAGGAGGCAGAGGAGCAACAATTCCAAGAGACAGCCGGCGAACCCCGCCCTGCCTGGGATGTGCCTGGCTGCTCCTTGGCTCGGGATGCAGGAAGGGATGGAGCTCCAGGCTCCTTCCTCGTTCCGGCCTCCCCCGGGTAAACAAGAGGCTGCCGGCTCGTTGTCCCGTGCCATCTAGCGGCCAGTGCCACCAGTGCCACCAGTGCCACCAGATTCCATCCTCACCCGGGGTTTGGAGGCAGCTGAGGCCGCTCTGCCGCGTGCTGGGTCGTGGAATTCTGGAATCGTGGAATGGTTTGGGACTAAGGGATTGTCCCAGCTCCACACCTTCCGCTGTCTCGGGTGGCTCCAAGCTGGCCTTGGACACTCCAGGCATGGGGCAGCCACAGCTGCTCTGGGAATTGCATCCCAAACCCTCACCGCCTTCACAGGGAGGAATTCCTTCCCGAAATCCCACCGAACCCTGCCCTCCCCCTGTGTCCTGTCTTTCCATCCCTTGTCCAAAGTTTCTCCCCGTGTTTTTGTCAGCACCTTCAGGCACGGCAAGGCCACAATCAGGTGACCCCAAAGCTTCTCCTCTCCAGGTTGAACAACCCCAATTCCCCCAGCCTTTCCCCACAGGAGAGCTGCTCCATCCCTCTGATCATCTTGGACTCATTCCAGCACCTCCACGTCCTTCTGGGTGATCCCTCCCCATAAAACCTGAGCTGCTGCTCTTCCCAGGCAGAGCACTGAGCCTTTGGAAGCAGATTTCCAAGGAGAAGGGAACCATCACCTGTGTCCTGGGCACGGTAAGGCTTTGCTCAACGGCGGTTCCCACCGTGACCCAAGACCCAGCCACAAATTCCAAAATTCCACCCCAAAATTCCCTGTAAAACTCACTCAGGGTGTCTCCCCTGCCACACCAGCAACACCACTCCACACTCCTGTCGTGAGGACAACGGGAAATGGGGGGTTTGCAGGGGGATTTTTGGAAGAACAAGGATCCTTGGCAGCCTCTCCCGTGGAGCTCTGGCATTCCAGGGCTGGGAAAGCACAACAACAGCGGGAATTCCACCCATCTGTGCCTCCCACAGGGATGAGGCCGGACACTTCTGATGGAGGCCAAAGCACAAAACACAGATCCCAATCTCCTGCAGCAACTCTGGCCAAGGGCAAAGGCCCCAGACCTTCCAAAAGTCCCTCTCACCTCAGTGGGTGAGCTCAGCTGGACGTGGAGAGGAGAGGGGATGAAAGAGACTGGAGGAAATAAAAGAAATTGTGGTGTTTGAGGCTGCCTGGGACAGGTAAAGGCTCTGGATTTTGGGAAACCTGGATCAGCATCACAGCACGTGGCCCCCCACTCCTCACCCGGGGGGATGAGGGACCCCAGCCCCTCATCCTGCGGTGTGCAGAAAGGGGACACCTAGACAAGGCTGCTCCTTCATTATGGGCATTATCAATAATTAAACGGACATTATTAATAATTACATTAAATCTGCATTTCAGGCAGAGGCGACTCCTCCATAGGAGCGATGTGAGCTACAGCCTGGCTGAGGGGACAGAGCCGGGGAACCTCTGGGGACAGATTCTGGGCTGACAGCGCTCTCTGCTCCCGGCTGCTCCCCGCCGACCCCGCCGGGGGTGACCCCTGCCCGGTACCGGTGCCGGTGCTCCAGCCTTACCCGCGACGTGCAGATAACCTCCCGCAGGTTGATGTTCATCCAGTTGTCGCAGCTCACCAGGTGCCCGTTGTACGTCTCCCCGTTCTTCAGCTCCACCAGCTGCGAGAGAACAGCGGTCACGGGGCGCCGGTACCGGGATGCGCCCGGTGTCACCGGCACGCCACCGGCGAGGGGAGCGGGGCTGGGCCGCGCGGCCGGTACTCACCATAGGGTGGTTCTGCGCCGTCTTCAGCAACGACAGGGGCAGCTGCGAGGGGAAGAGAGGAGAAAGGCCTCAGGCACCGACCGACAACGGGGCACCGGCCGGGGCACCGACCCGCGCACCGAGCGGGGCACCGGGCACGCCATCCCTGGCGAGGGGGAAGAGACGAGCCAGGCGCTCCCCTCCGCTCCAGCCCCCTCCCGAGCCCGGTTCCCGGTTCCCCGTTCCCGGTGCCGCCGCTCACCATCGTGCCGGACCGGGAGCCGCCGCCGCGCCGGGCGCTGCCGCTCAAACCGCCCCCGGCTCCGCGCGGGGCCAATCAGAGCGCGGCGCGGTCCCGCCGCAGCCAATCAGAGCGCGGCGCGGTCCCGCAGCAGCCAATCAGAGCGCGGATGGCGGCCGGGCCGCGCCGCGCCGCCCGGTCCGCGCCTTTGCGGCGGCACCGCCCGGGACGGGACGCGCCGGGACGGGACGAGACGCGCTCCGGACCCTCCGGTACCGCGGCCGCGCTTCGTGCTCCCCCCACAACCAAGCGGGGAACCCCCGCGAGCCTCAAGGTGAGCGTTTTGTTTAATCAACCCCCCCCCGGAATCCCGCGCTGAGGCGGGCGAGCGGGAGCCCTTCGGGCTGCGCCGCGCACGGAGAATCCCGGTGATCGGTAACGGGTGAAGGGCTCCAAGGCCGTCCCAACGCGGGACTTCCGCCGCGGCGGCGCGGCGGCGGCGGGACGGGACGGACGGGACGGGACGGGACGGACGGGACGGAGCCGCGATGGAGAAGCCGCGGCGGGCCGTGGTGGTGACGGGTACGGGGCGGTGAGAGGGGAGATGGCGGGGGGATTGATGGGGGACGCCGTTCCTGAGGGGGGCGGTGTGAGGGAGCCCTTCCCTGAGGTGAGGGCAGAGCTGGGCGTGAGGGGGTCTGGGGGTGTAGGTGGGGGCACCCCTGCTCTGTGGCGAGGAGCAGGTTTGGGGGTCCTTATCCTGAGCTGAAGTGGCCGGGGGAAGGTGTAAGACCCCCCCACCCCTCCCCGAAGCGATGGGGGGCTTGGAGGGGCGGCTTCTCTGTGAGGAGGAATTTGGGGGAGCGGGGTGGTTTTGGGGACCCCTTCACCACAGGGCTTGGGAGGGGGGGGCAGTTGGGGACTTCTTCCCTGAGATTGTGGGGGGATAAGTGAGGGACCCCTTCCCTGAGGTGAGAGGGGGGTCTGCTGTCCCGTCAGGGGGTGACAGAGGGAATGGGGAGCGGGGGCTGTCCCCTCGGGGGGCTGTTTTGGGGGGCTGTCCCCTCGGGGGGCTGTTTTGGGGGGCTGTCCCCTGTGTGGGGTGATAAATGGGGCGCAGGGCAGAGTCTGGGGGGCTTTGGGTCAGGGGTGTCACAGCTGGGGAGGGGTACAGAGGCGAGGAGCTTTCCTAACCCTTATCCAGCCACGGTTCCCTTTTTCCCATGTGTGACCCCATCCCAGAGCTTTGCTCTTCTCCAAAAGAAGGGAATCCAGCCTCCCAAAGAGCAGGAAAACCAACTCGGGGTGCAGGGAGAGGGGGGAATCCCCCCAGACCACCCCACCCTGAGCCCCCAAGGTGTGGGGGGCTGCTCCCCAAAGCTCCCCCGAGGGGCTGCAGAAGCGCCGGGAGGGGAAGAAAGAGCGGAGGCAGCCGGAGGCCCCGGCGTTGTCAGCCTCTTCCCGGGGTACAAAGGCAGCTCGGGGTGATTTGTGGGTGAGGCCGTCCTGTGACAAATGGGGAACTCGCCCGAACTATTCAGGTCTCCCCCCGGCAGCTGAAGCTGAGGCTGTTTGAATAGCAGAGCGGCCGTAATCACGGGCAAAAAGCGCCTTTTTCCAGGGAGCCCTTGTGGGGAGCCGAGGAGCAGGTGGCAAATCCTGCCTCTCCCAACCCCAAATCCAGCGTGGAGCGGCGGTGACTAAACAGAAAACTTGCGTCAGGAGACGTTCTGCTGCTCGCGAGGCTCCTCCACGCTCTTTTTTTTTTTTTTTATCCCCCCCCCTTTTTTTTTAAATTTTCAGGGAAGCAAAATGCAGCTGTTGCCTCGTCAGCTCTGCCCCTGTTTGATAACGCTGTGGATGTCACGCGGAATTCCGTTCGGGGCCGGTGTCGTGTTCCCAGTGGGTTCCCAGCCTGAGCTGGCCCGAGGATAAGCGTTATTTGTGCACAATTTCTTTTTTAGAACTCGTTAAGGAGATAATCCCATCGCCATCCCCTGCAGCTGGTTTTGCTGCTAATGAGCCTTGGAGGGCCCCGTGGTGGATGTGCTCCGTGGGGTCGGGTGCTGCCCACAAAGTTCCTTGTGTTCCCAGCCAGGGATAACACGAGGGATCCGGGCAGATGAGTCAGAGCAGCGATAACCCCAGCTGTGTTTGTGCCGCTTGCATTTGGAATTTGGAGCAAGGGAATCCTGCCCTGTGCCTGGGCACCTGTAGGATTTCAGCCTTTCCGTGGCCGAGTCGTTAAAATAATGGATTTAGTTTCTTTTGTAGGATTGTCACGCTGTATTTAGGAATTCAGCTTAGCAGGTCTCAGTGTTTGCTTCCCGAGAGCCGTGTGGGACTTGCAGAAACAGCTGGGAAGGCATTAATTTGCCTCCTTCCCCTGTCATAGTTTGTCTCACACCCCTGCAGTTCTGCTCGCAGGAAAACACCCCCAACATTTTGGATTTTGTGGGGAATATTTATTTTGGCGAGCCGGCAACGCCGGGTTGAGATCCACGGGCGTGGACGAGCCCACGCTTGGGAAATTCCTCCTGAGCAGCATCACCTCGGCCTGCCTGGGGAGGAGGGCAAATCCCACATTTCCATTAAGGTGTCATCTGATATTTGTGGTCCCTCTCGGATCCTTTCAGGGGCTGGGCAGAATTTATGGCTCCTAATTGCACGAGGCTCGGAGGGCAAGGCTGACATTTTAAATTAAAGCATATCGACGTTACGCCCAGATAAATTGCCCAACCTTTGTGTGCTTGCTCAGGGGAAAAAAAAAAAAAGATAAAAAACAACAACAACAAAAGAAAGATGTTATGGATTACCAGTTAACTCCAAAGTTATTCATTAGGAATTTAGAGGTGCTGAAGGAAGTGTTTTTGATAACGCCTTGGTAGCCTTTGCTGTGCTGTGGGTGGGTTGTCAACAGCTCTGTTTATTTCCTTGGGAGGTGTAATTAATGCTAACGAAGATCTTGGAGAAGACCCTGAGTGGAGAAGGGAACATTTGAGGCAGGCTTGTGGAAGCATCTGCTGTGGGCTGAAGCAATCAGGAATAGAAAATCCAATCATGATTCTAATTCTGTGACAAGTTAGCTGGTAATAATGAATTTTTCTAACCTGGGCAGGAAGGAAAATTCTTCTCCCCAAGAAAAAACCAAGTTTCTTTTCAAGCAAGTTATTGTTTTCCTTCGCTGTACAAGGCTGGAGTTGAAATATTTCAGTGCAGGTGTCTTGTTTGACACTCAGGTGTAAGGAAATAAGGATTGAGAGGTAGAAGTGGAGGGGTTTTTTTTCTTCCCAGGAAAGCTCAAACCTCTTTGCAACTTCAAGCTGAGTCAAATCTGGGAATTTTTCTTCTCTTGCAGGGTTTGGGCCGTTTGGAGAACACGCTGTGAATGCCAGCTGGATTGCAGTTCAGGTAACCCCTGAATTTTCCTCTCAGGAGGTGTGAAAATCGAGGACAAATCCCTACAAAATTGGGGACTTTCAGCTCTTTTTATCACTTACAGCTTCTTCTGGAGCTCTCTGCAGATATCCAGATGGTCAGCTGGATAATGTTTGATTCCCTGCTCAGAAAACAATCCCTTAGCTGGTGGAGTTTAATGAGATTGAGTTAATGTAGCTGAGGCAAGTAAGGAATTCCCAGCTTTGGATGCTTTTAAATGGGGCAGGGAGCTTGGAATCTTCCTCTGCCCTGGGGAATTCCAAACAAACAAACCAGCTGACCAACCCAGAGGAATCTGGATGTTTTTCTCTCAGTTTTGGCTCAGAGCTGGGCCAGTTGGTTCACCTTTAAACTGAACCTCATCCCTGAGAGGAGGCTCCCAGCTTTGGGGAGTTGTGTGAGTGGCAGGAGTCTGATTGCCAGAGCTGCCTCTTTTCTCCCCCCTGGATCCCCCCTTCTCTGCTTGGGAGAGTTTCTGGGGAAATGCTTTTCCTGCCTGCTCAGGAAAATCAGCTTTATGCCACTTGTAGCTCTGTATCTGCATGGGCACATCCCTAAAATTCTGGAATATCCTGGGAGGAAATCATCCAATCCCACTCCTGGCCATGCACAGGACACCCCAAAAACCCCACCCCGTTCCCAGGAGTTCATCTGAGTGAGGCTAACATCCCACAAATGAGGCAAAAAAAGGGAATTAAGCTATTTTTGATGGAATTAAAGGGGTTTTTTTTGCTGTAAAAACACTTTTTACAGGGATGGTGCTGCCACATAATCCCACTTCTTCCTTCTTTGTCACTTCTGGATGGGGTTTGTGGCAAAGCTCCTGGGAATTCCATGGTACCTTTTAGCACAGTTGCCCAGGGAATTTAAATCTATTTTTCTCCCCACCACGTCTCTCTCCCCTTCAGAGCTCTGAGATTAATATCTTCTTTCAAATGCTTTTAAATTAAATCACAAACTCTAATCAATTACAGCCAACTAATGTCCAGCTGCCTGATGTGTTGGCTGCTAGGAGAAGACAAAACCTTTGCCTCCAAGAGCTTTTTGGGAATGAATATATTTAAGTTTGGGTCAGTTTGGAGGAAAATGCAGGTTGTGGATGGTGGGGGGGAAAAAAAAAAAAAGCAGGACATTCCTAAAAATCAGAAGTGAGGCTCAGTGATTTGGTTTGTTCTTGCTGGTGTAGTGTCAGCTGTTGTAAATAGCTGCTTTTATTTTAGAGGAGACAGACAAAAGGGTGTTTTTGGAGCAGGAGGAGTGGTGGGTGTTGAGATGTTGCTTGAAAAAACAAAAACAAACCTAAAGAGAAACAGCTCGAGGCACTGGGGACTGCTCAGCTGTGTGGCTGATGGATGAAGTCATCCTCTCCACTTAAAATCCATTTTTAGGGGCTTGGGGGATGACAAAACTCAGAGTTTGAGGTGTTTTGGGTGGCTGAACTCAGAATTGGGGATGTTTTGAGTGAATTGGGGTTGTTTTAGTGGCTATACTCAAATTTGGGGATGTTTTGAGTGGATTGCTGATGTTTTGAGTGGCTAAACTCAAATTTGGGGATGTTTTGAGTGGATTGGTGGTGTTTTGAGTGGCTAAACTCAAATTTGGGGATGTTTGGGGTGGCTAAACTCAGAATTTGGGTGTTTTGAGTGAGCTGGGGATGTTTTGAGTGGCTAAAGCTCAGAATTTGGGATGTTTGGAGTGGCTAAGCTCAGATTTGGGGATGTTTTGAGTGGATTTGGGTTGTTTGGAATGGCTAAACTCAGAACTGGGGATGTTTTGGGTGACTAAACTCAGAATTCTAGTGTTTTGAGTGGATTGGGGGTGTTTTGAGCGGCTAAACTCAGAATTTGGGATGTTTTGGGTGACAAAACTCAGAATTTGGGATGTTTTGGGTGACAAAACTCAGAATTTGGGATGTTTTGGGTGACAAAACTCAGAATTTGGGATGTTTTGGGTGACAAAACTCAGAATTTGGGATGTTTTGGGTGACAAAACTCAGAATTTGGGATGTTTTGGGTGACAAAACTCAGAATTTGGGATGTTTTGGGTGACAAAACTCAGAATTTGGGATGTTTTGGGTGAAAAAACTCAAAACTGGGGGGGGTTTTAATGGGTTAAATTAGAANTTGGGGACGTTTTGAGTGGCTAAACTCAGAATTTGGGGATGTTTTGAGTGGATTTGGGATGTTTTGGGTGACTAAACTCAGATCTAGGGATGTTTTGGGTAACTAAACTGAGATCTGGGGATGTTTTGAGTGGCTAAACTCAGAATTTGGGATGTTTTGGTGACTAAACTCAGATCTGGGGATGTTTTGGACGACTAAACTCAGAATTTGGGATGTTTTGAGTGACTAAACTCAAATCTGGGGATGTTTTTAGTGACTAAACTCAGAATTTGGGATGTTTTGGGTGACTAAACTCAGAATTTGGGGACGTTTTGAGTGGCTAAACTCAGAATTTGGGGATGTTTTGAGTGGATTTGGGATGTTTTGGGTGACTAAACTCAGAATTTGGGATGTTTTAAGTGGCTAAACTCAGATCTGGGGATGTTTTGGCTGACCAAACTCAGAATTTGGGATGTTTTGGACGACTAAACTCAGAATTTGGGATGTTTTGGCTGACCAAACTCAGAATTTGGGATGTTTTGGGTGACTAAACTCAGAATTTTGGATGTTTTGGCTGACCAAACTCAGAATTTGGGATGTTTTGAGACGCTAAACTCAGAATTTGGGATGTTTTGAGACGCTAAACTCAGAATTTGGGATGTTTTGAGCGACTAAACTCAGAATTTGGGATGTTTTGGTGGCTAAACTCAGATCTGGGGATGTTTTGGCTGACTAAACTCAGAATTTGGGATGTTTTGAGCGACTAAACTCAGAATTTGGGATGTTTTGAGCGACTAAACTCAGATCTGGGGACGTTTTGGCTGACCAAACTCAGAATTTGGGATGTTTTGCTGATCAAACTCAGAATTTGGGAAGTTTTGGCTGACCAAACTCAGAATTTGGGATGTTTTGGGTGACTAAACTCAGAATTTTGGATGTTTTGGCTGACCAAACTCAGAATTTGGGATGTTTTAGTGGCTAAACTCAAATCTGGGGATGTTTTGAGTGACCAAACTCAGAATTTGGCATGTTTTGGTGGCTAAACTCAGAATTTGGGATGTTTTGGCTGACCAAACTCAGAATTTGGGATGTTTTGGGTAACTAAACTCAGATCTGGGGACGTTTTGGCTGACCAAACTCAGAATTTGGGATGTTTTGAGTGGCTAAACTCAGAATTTGGGATGTTTTGAGTGGATTTGGGATGTTTTGGGTGACTAAACTGAAATCTGGGGATGTTTTGGTGGCTAAACTCCGATCTGGGGACGTTTTGAGCACAAAGCGGAGCCGCGCTGGAGGCTCCGGGTGCGGATTCCTGCCGGTGAAAACATCAGCTGGGAGGCAGCGGGGAGGATTTGCCTTTCCTTGCCCCGTCTCAGCCCCCGGAGGCCCAGACAAAAAAAGGAACAGCATGTCTTTGAGCCCGGCCGAGGTGGGCTTTGTGCGAGTTTCAGACGAGTTTCAGACGGGGACTTCACACAAAGGCGTGTCTGAGTTCCCGAATCCCAGACGGTGTGATCTGCATTTTAATAGAAGAAAAATCAATTAAACAATCTTTCTAAATCCTTCCTAGCTCTAGGGCTCGGCTAGTTCTGGTTTATTACATCTTTTATTGTGCTGCATCCCGAGGATAAAATTCCCTTTTTTTTTTGGTTTTTTTTTGTCCTTTCGCTCCCCCTGGTTTTATTTGGGTTCTCCCACAGAACATGGACACGGTGGGAGTTTTCCCTGGAAGTGCAGTGAATTTCTGTCTGGTTTTGCAAGCTGACTGATTTTTACACATGGCTACCTTAAATAGCGGCAGCAGCAATCTAATAATGCTGCCCAAATTAAAAGTTTCAACATTTCACCCCAAAAAAAACCCAAAACCCAGTGAAATGTTTGGGTTTTTACTCACGGGGGAGAGCTTTCCTATAAAATCAGCAGGAAGAAAAACTCCTTTCTGCTTTATTTTAAGGCACACAGCAAAACCACTCTGTGTTAATTTAGGTTTTGAGTTTTCATCATTTTAATCTTTCAGTTCAAGATTTATTTTTTTTTTCCCACGGGTGCAACTTTTTCTGGGGAGGGACTTCCAAGAAAAAATCACTAAAATGAGCTTTTCTCATCTCGTTTTCTGCCCTCCCTGCTGTGACTTAGGTGTGGACACAGGTGTGACCTGTGGACTGTGAAGCTGCTGGGCTCCTTCATCCCCCCCAAAGTGCTTCTGGCTGTGGAGGAGGAGGAGGAGGAGAGAGGTCAGAGTGCATTTTGACATTAGGAAGGACAATTGCTGTCAGGGTGTCTAGACAGACCTGATAAGGATATTAGAGGCTGACAAAGAGCAGCATTGTGGAGGGGTCAGGGAATCGGTCACACATGTTCTGTGTGCTCTGGTTGTCAGGTGGACAGGGCTGGGGGGGAGAGGTTGTTCAGGGAAGGGGGGGAAGGTTACAAACATCTTCATTATGGAGCGCTGGGCTTGGTTAAGGGAAAAGTTGTGGCTTGGTAAAGTTAAGGTTTAAGTGGCTGGAGGATTCTCTTTTCATCCAGCAAAACTTGTCACCATCAAATCCATCCCCAGGAGCTGTTTCCTTCCATCCCCAGCACCAAATCCATCCCCAGGAGCTGTTTCATTCCATCCCCACCACCAAATCCATCCCCAGGAGCTGTTTCCTTCCATCCCCACCACCAAATCCATCCCCAGGAGCTGTTTCCTTCCATCCCCAGCACCAAATCCATCCCCAGGAGCTGTTTCCTTCCCTCCCAACCATCAAATCCATCCCCAGGAGCTGTTTCCTTCCCTTCCCAACCACCAAATCCATCCCCAGGAGCTGTTTCCTTCCATCCCAACCACCAAATCCATCCCCAGGAGCTGTTTCCTTCCCTTCCCAACCATCAAATCCATCCCCAGGAGCTGTTTCCTTCCCTTCCCAACCACCAAATCCATCCCCAGGAGCTGTTTCATTCCATCCCAACCATCAAATCCATCCCCAGGAGCTCTTCCCTTCCCAACCCTTCACCTTCAGGAGCATCACTTCTCATTAGCATTAACACTCCTAAAAAGTGTTTCCTCTCCTCCTGAAGAGGCTGAGTGGTGCTGGAATCCTCTCCTCTGTAAACTCTCCCTCACTGAGGCTCCAGGTAAGGTTTTGGAGGCAGATTTGTGCAGAGGAGCTGTGATGAGCCATCCCTTCCCTCCTTCTGTGCTAATGAATGTCTGAGTGTGCCAGACACTAATCAATACACAAGGCTTTAATATCAGCCTTGCCCTGGGAGCCAGAGCCTGTGATTTATCATCGTTGCTCATATCTGCTGCTCTGTCAGAGTGTCACTTTGGCCTTTCTGGGTGTTTTAGCTATCCTAAATCTTGTTACATCCCTGTGGTTTGGCTGTACAAGTGTGAAAGGTGGTTTTTTTTCCTCAGTGGAAAACCACTCATGCTGATGAAAACACAGAAAAAACGGTGGCAAGACGCTGCTCACGTTTAACTGGGGGAGGCCTCAAACCTCAACTTGTCTTCTCCTTTCAAGTGTCTTTAATTTTTAATTTTTAACCTGGGGGAATACAAGGTTGGAGAGTGAAAACAGCTGATCTGCAAGGAGGAAAATAAAACCTGAGAATTGCTTCAAAGAGCAGCTCGTGGCTCTGGACACCGAATCCAAACCTGAAACAGAGCAGAGTGTCACTTTGGCCTTTCTGGGTGTTTTAGCTATCCTAAATCTTGTTACATCCCTGTGGTTTGGCTGTACAAGTGTGAAAGGTGGTTTTTTTTCCTCAGTGGAAAACCACTCATGCTGATGAAAACACAGAAAAAACGGTGGCAAGACGCTGCTCACGTTTAACTGGGGGAGGCCTCAAACCTCAACTTGTCTTCTCCTTTCAAGTGTCTTTAATTTTTAATTTTTAACCTGGGGGAATACAAGGTTGGAGAGTGAAAACAGCTGATCTGCAAGGAGGAAAATAAAACCTGAGAATTGCTTCAAAGAGCAGCTCGTGGCTCTGGACACCGAATCCAAACCTAAATAAATTCAGGAATATTTGGAAATGTCCTTTGATAGTTTGATGGCTTTTACCTGTTCCTACCTCAGTTCCATAAGAACAGCAATTTTGGACGTTTGGTGACAAGGGGAAAGCTTGGTCCAGGTTGGATGCTGCAGGAATTGCTTACACATGATGGCCAAGGTCTCTTCTCCCACTGGAAAATGTTACCTGGCCCCAAGGTTCAGGCTCAGCTGATGGTTTTTGTAAAACCCCTTTTTTTTCCAGAGGCTTCAGACCTTGTGGGTGTTTCCTTGACTTCTGGGAAGTTTGGGATTGATGGCTCTGAGAGGTCCCAGAGTTCCAACTGGTGGGACTGGAGTGGAGAAGGGAGAACCTGTGTGTAGGGGGAACTCCCAGTTTTGGGATCAAACAGTGCTTTCCAGTCAGAAATATTGTGGAGGAAAAAAACCACTCCCAGTTTTGGGATCAAACAGTGCTTTCCAGTCAGAAATAGTATGGAGAAAAAAAACCTTTCCTCTGGTTTTAAAGTCTTTGCAAGGTATTTAACTGCCACTTTGTGTTTTAAAAGGTTTGAAGGAAATTGGCTCCGTTTATTGCCAGGATATTTGGGATGTTTTCATGTCAGAGAGGGAGAAATCATTTACTGGGTTAGTTGAATCACCAGTGCTGTCACCCAGCCCTGAGAGCTCTTTATCTGGAAATAAATGTGAAATCACTCTCCAGGCCAGGAACCCTGGGTGATGGATAAAATCCTTCCAGTCCCACCTTCTCCACACTGTCACTCCTTGGAGAAGTAGGGATTGTGACTGTCTCCCTCTATAAATAACAGAGCCAAGATTTCCCTGGGAGCGTGGGTGTTGCTGATAACTATTGTCAGTTAAATGTTGATTTCTTTGTCACACACACATCAGAGCCACACAAACGGTTCTGTGGGTGAAACTCTTCACACAGGTGGAGAGATGCCTTTGTTGTTGCCATTATGGGGTTTGGGTTTTTTTTTTTTAAGCTGCTGTAAACTCACTGCAGGTGCAGTTTATGAGGTTACACAACCTACTGTAAACTGCCATTAAACCTTCCAGGAGTAAATCCTCTGCTCGTGTCGTGTCTGACCATCTTGGTTTTGCTTTGCTGGTGTTTTTTTTTTTAGGAGCTGGAGAAGCTGGGGCTGAGGAATGACGTGGATCTGCATGTCTATGAGGTCCCTGTTGAGTACCAGACCGTGCAGAGACTCATTCCTGCCTTGTGGAAGAAGCACAGTCCCCAAGTGAGTGAGTAAAGGGAGGATCAAAAAGCCACCCAGCAAAACCTGCAGTGGGCACCATGTGAAGTCTCCTTTTTCATGTATTCCCTCAGCCTGGCTGGATCTTTTCCTCTTTTGTGGTGAGAAAATGGGAATTTGTGGGGTTTTACAGCTCCGAGTGCTCCAGTTCCCAGGAGCAGTGGGTGTGAAGGGGCCACTGCCAAGGGCTGTCTAGACAGCTCGTGGTTTGTCTGTGCCACCTGGGCTCCTCCAGCAGCTCTGGAGGTGCCAAGGCTCCTTTTTACCCTGGTGAAATCACAATTCAGGTCAGGAGAGGGTGAAATGGCAATTGTGCTGTGCTGAACCCATGATGAAAAGACCTCGTTCCTCTGGCACCTGTAACTCCTCCCTGGCTCCCTGGGGGTGGAACCATGGAATCCCAGAGTGGCTTGGGGTGGGGAGGACCTTAAAAAATCATACCACAGGGTCAATCAGGCTGGAAAATGACCAAAAATCGAGTCCAGCCTTGGACTGAGTGCCACGTGCAGAACCTAACCCCAGAGGATTCCGTGGTTCCAGCACGGTGACAAGGTGGTGTTGAGATGTCACCAGGCTTCCAGTCCCCAGGGTGGCTCCAGGAGAGCTGGACTGGGAGTTTGGATAAGGGAAAGGAGTGGATGTCAGAGCTGTGCCCACTTGGGAGGATCCTGTGGGGGTCCCTCTTGTTGCTTTCTCTGGGTCTGGATTGAAGGCACTTGAGACATTATTTTGTGTTTGGACTCAGAGGTTTATTATTTCTTAATCAGTGAAACAGTCTCACGACGATGAGTTCAGCAGCTCTTCATTAGAAGGCACAAAATGGCCAACAATCTCTTCTCACAAGGTCTTTTAAGACAACTTTCCAATTAAGAGCTGACACCTGGATTATTTTCCCTTTTACCCCAATAACTGATCCCAAAGAGCCCCAGTGCAGACTTTTCTGCCCAATTACAAACCCATGAAGGAGGAGGAGGAAGAAGCATGAAGAAGGAACCCAGGACAACACCCTGTGCCCTCAATCTTCCTCCCATCCACAACAAACTAAAAACCCCAAAACCTAAATTTCTCACCAAGTGATCCACCTACACCACTCTCTATAATCTATTTCATATGGTTGATGCTTGGTGTGAGGAGACAGGAATCTTGACTCCATGTTTCAGAAGGCTGGTTTATTATATTGTGATATATTAAAATGTTATATTAAAACTATACTAAAAAAATAGAAAGAAAAAATTCATCAGAAGGCTGGAAAGAACAGGAATGGAATGATAACAAAACTGGTGACTCCCAGAGAGTCTGAGCCAGCTGACTGTGATTGGCCATTAATTAGAAACAACCACCATGCCCCAATCACAGATGTACCTGTTGCATTCCACAGCAGCAGATAAATTATTGTTTACATTTCTTTCCTGAGCCTTCTCACCTAGAATAAGAGAAAAATCTTAGCAAGGGATTTTTCACAAAATACCACGACTGCGATTTCACAATTTTGTGGATTCTGGCCTATCTTGAAGCCTAGGAAAACTTTCTCCATGCAAGAGGCTCAGGGTCAGAGCTCCCCTGGGGGGTCAGGGCACCCCGGGGCAGACAGAGCAATATTCCCAGTGGGTTCCCAGAGGATCAGCATCCCACACAACCCATCCCCTTCCCCCCTGCAGCTGGTGGTCCACGTGGGAGTGTCGGGCATGGCCACCACTGTCACCCTGGAGAAGTGTGGCCACAACGTGGGCTACAAGGGGCTGGACAACTGTCGCTTCTGCCCGGGCTCCCAGTGCTGCGTGGAGGGAGGCCCCGAGTGCATCGACTCCATCATCGACATGGACGCTGTGTGCAGGAGGGTCTCGGCACTGGGGCTGGACGTCACTGTCACCATCTCCAAGGATGCTGGCAGGTAGGGGCTGAGCCCTGGGCTGTGCTGGGTGCTCTGTGGGGTGTGCTGGGTGCTCTGTGGGGTGTGCTGGATGCTTTGTGTGGGGTGCTGGGTGCTTTGTGGGCTGTGCTGGGTGCTTTGTGGGGTGTGCTGGGTGCTTTGTGCTGGGTGTGCTGGGTGCTTTGTGCTGGGTGCTTTGTGTGGGGTTCTGAGTGCTTTTTGGGGTGCTCCCGGGGCGAGTGGAGAGATGAGAATCTTGGCTCCGTGTTTCAGAAGGCTGGGAGAGTTGTTGTTTACATTTCTTTTTTTGAGGAGGGAAGAAATCCTAGCAAAGGATTTTTCATGGAATATCACGGTGACACTGGGGGTCAGGGAATCCTGCAGTGCCTTGCCTTGGGAGGCACCTGGAAGTTTTGTGGTTGTGTGCCAGGTGCTTCAAGCCCCCGTGTTCAGCCTGGCCTTGGGCACTTCCAGGGATCCAGGGGCAGCCACAGCTGCTCTGGGAATTCCATCCCAGCTCCTCCCCTCCCTCCCAGCCAGGAATTCCTTCCCAATACCCACCCAGATTCCCCTTTCCACTTTGAAGCCATTCCCTGTGTTGGGGTTCCAGTCCTTGTCCCAAATCCCTCTCCAGCTCTCCTGGAGCCCCTTTAGGCTCTGGAAGAGGCTCCAAGGTCTCCCTGGAGCTTCCCTCCTCCAGCCTGGCCTTGAATCCCCACAGGAACAATCCCTAATTCCCAACATCCCACCCATCCCTGCCCTCTGGCAGTGGGAGCCACTCCCTGTGTCCTGTCCCTCCATCCCCTGTCCCTCTCCAGCTCTCCTGGATCCCTCAGGGACTGGAAGCCCTGGTTAACACCATCTTGTCACCTCCTCCATGGGATCAGGGACTCCCAGGGTGCTTGGAAGGGCCTGAAATCCCATCCCAATGTCCCATCCCACCCCAGGGACACCTCCCGCTGTGCCAGGCTGCTCCCAGGCCATCCTGGGGACACTTCCAGGGACACCACAGCCTGCTGTGCCCGTGTCACTCCTGTTCCCCTGCAATCCATGGGAGCACTGGGGCTGGAGGAGCCCTCTCAGCTCCTCAAGTCCAACCATTCCCCAGCACTGCCAAGGCCACCAAATGTCCCCAAAGTGCCACATCCACGTGGCACTGAAGCCTCCCACACCTTTCACTTCCCATGGCAATACCACCTGGTTTTCAGTGATCAGGGGGGGGAAATAAAGAGAAATCCTCACTTTTTTTGGTCCTAAATTTAATTAAACCAATCCCAGACTCACAATTCCTGCCTCACATCCCCCAAAATCCCAGCACGCTGAACGATGGGGACCTACAGCTGGTTTTAGCTGGTTTTATCTGATTTTATCCCTTTTTTTTTGCTGAATAATCTCTGGTTTTGTGTTGCAGGTACCTCTGTGACTTCACCTACTACACCTCCTTGTACCAGAGCCGTGGGAGGTCAGCATTTGTCCACGTGCCTCCCCTGGGAAAACCTTACTCTGCAGAACAGCTGGGCCGGGCCCTGCAGGCCATCATAGAGGAAATGCTGGATTTTTTGGAGCATTCTGAAGACAAAATCAATTGTCAACATGAACACTGAGCAGCCTGGCCAGGAGCTCTCCTAGTATTGCACTTCTAAAATTTTCCCTGCTCTGATGAAGTATTGGGGAAAAGAAAAAACAAAACAAAAAAAAAAAAAATCAAGCAACAGTTCCAGACCAAGAATTGGAGACTTAAAAAAAAAAAAAAAAAAAAAAAAAAAAGGAAAATTCTACAAATTCTGCTTAGAAATGAACTTTTTTTTTTTTTTTTAATTGTTGTTGAATCTGTGAGTTTCAGCCTGAGCAACAAAGGATTCAGAATCTCTTCTCTAGAACAGCTGCAGCTCCTGAAGGGTTTGTGCTGGGAGCTTCCAGGATCCTCACCTGGAGGTTCCTCACCTCACCTGGACTCAGGTGCATGGAATTGCTCACCCAACCCTCCCGTGGCTAATTTTTGAGGTGAAAGGTTTGCTTTCAGTTGGTTTTGGGTTTGTTTCCCCCCAGTGTTGACCCAAATTCGGGGTGATGATGTGCAAGGACAGCTGGGGAGGTGTGGGCTTGGCTTGGAGAGCAGAGTTTGGTGGCTGTGAGGAGCCTGAAGCTGCTTTGCTGGACTGGAAAATGATTTTAGGCACTGATTCCTCACCTCCTCTAGCTGCAGTAGAAGGGATGTGTCTGGGGTTGCTTTTGGAACCCAAATCCAGCTGGATTTTTTTTTATTTTTGGATCCCAAATCTCTTTTTTCCTGCCACCTCCCTTCCTCAAGGACCTGCTGTACCAAACACCTCGGTTCAAATGTGTCTCAAACCAATCATTGGTGGGTGAAGAGCTTTGCTGAGGGCCACTTTCCCCAGGGGAGATCTTCATCCTGGTGCTCCACGCTGTTTTTGAGGTGAAGCTTCAGTAATTTTGGATTTCCTCAGCTGCAAATTCCCCCTCGTGTTCCAGGTTAGGAGAGCAATGTCTAACTGAGATCCCAATTCCACCTGGATTGGTGTGGAGGCATAAAAATGCAGATGGAAAGCTACATAACCCCTGAAAAATCAAATGGCAGATCTTCAAGCCAATCCCACTGCCTGGAAACCAGAGGCAGTGATTGGAAATGAAGGAATTTTGGCTTTGAGTGAGGATTCCAGGCTCTTTCCTGGAGTTCCCTTCCCAGAAGCTGCTCGTGGGGGCTTCCCCAGGAATTCTTTTGGGGAAGGGCACCTGCAGCATCTCAGCAGGTGATGCTGGTCCTGTGTGGGGAAGATTTGCTGCCAAATTTTGAGATTGCAGCCAAAAAAAAACCCAGCTGAAGTTGGAGCAGACACAAAACTGGGAGCTGAGGCCTCGTGGAGAGGCCGTTTGGATGAAGAACTCTGTGATGCTTTTACAAATAGATAGAAATATATATATATATATAAATATATATATATATAAAACCAACATTTCAAAGGTTTTAAAGCCCATGATTTTGAATTTCTCTGGTGCTTGACTGGCTCTGCTATTGTAACTCTCAGTGAGAGCTGCCCTGAGCTTGGCCAGGAGAAGTCTGGTGACAAAACCACTCCTTGTAACCCTTGAGAGGGGGCAAAAACTCTGCAGCTGGAGGGCTCTGCTGAGGGCACCTGAGCAGGAAGATTTTTTTGGATAGATCCAAGGAAATTCCTGCTCTGTTCTCCATCCAAGCCTTCCTGCTCAGAGGAATTTGCCTTCAGGTGAAATATTGTCATTCCCATCGACTCCGAGGTAGCACTTGTCAGATTTCCTGATTAGTAATTTATTTTATTTAATGTTTTGTTGAAATCTTCATGTTTTGACACAGTTTTTTGGGTTGTTTTTTTTTTTTGTGATTAGTTGAGTTCCTTATCCCCATAGGATTTATTCCTTTGTTGGTGGGAAGTTTTTTGTCCTGGGTGTTTCGTAGCTGCTAAATTTGGGGGAGAGGAAATATCCCACAGGGCTTGGTGATGGAGCAATTCCCAGAAAAAAAAAAAACAAAAAAACCAAAAAAACCCTGCTTAATTCACCTCTGATGTCACCGTGGGTGAAATGGAAGTGGGAAATCCACAGATGGGTGAGGCCACACCGAAATTCCAGGGGTGGAACCTCAGCAGGGGCAGGGAGGGGGACCCGGGTGGGATCAGCATCTCCAGGTGAGATGTTCCCTGTCCATCCCTGGCTGTGCACCCCTGGGTGGGGCTGGAGGTGCTCTGGATGGGCTGAAGGTCCCCAGGGTGGGGCTGGAGGTCCCTGGATGATGCTGGAGGTCCCTGGATGAGCTGGAGGTCCCTGGATGGTGCTGAGGTGCCCAAGGTGTGGCTGGAGGTGCCCAGGGTGAGACTGGAGATGCCCTGGATGGGATGACAGTCCCCAGGGTGTGGCTGGAGGTGCCCTGGATGAGCTGGAGGTGCCCTGGACGGTGCTGAGGTGCCCAGGGTGGTGCTGGACGTCCCTGGATGATGCTGGAGGTGCCCCTGGTGGTGCTGGAGGTGCCCAGGGTGGGGCTGGAGGTCCCTGGATGGTGCTGACGTCCCCTGCGTGAGGCTGGAGGTGCCCAGGGTGAGGCTGGAGATGCCCTGGATGGTGCTGAGGTGTCCCTGGATGGGCTGGAGGTCCCTGGATGAGCTGGAGATGCCCTGGATGGTGCTGAGGTGCCCCTGGATGGTGCTGGAGGTGCCCAGGGTGAGGCTGGAGATGCTCTGGATGGGCTGAAGGTCCCCAGGGTGGGGCTGGAGGTCCCTGAATGGTGCTGAGGTGCCCCTGAATGGTGCTGACGTCCCCAGGGTGAGGCTGGAGGTGCCCTGGATGGTGCTGGAGGTGCCCAAGGTGTGGCTGGAGGTCCCCAGGGTGAGGCTGGAAGTGCCCCTGGTGGTGCTGGAGGTGCCTGGATGGTGCTGAGGTGCCCAGGGTGAAGCTGGAGGTGCCCAGGGTGAGACTGGAGATGCCCTGGATGGGATGACAGTCCCCAGGGTGAGGCTGGAGGTCCCCGTTGTGTCCCTGGAGGTGCCCAGGGTGTCCCTGGATGTCCCCATGGTGTCCCTGGAGGTCCCCATGGTGTCCCTGGATGTCCCCAGGGTGTCCCTGGAGATCCCCATGGTGTCCCTGGATGTCCCCAGGGTGTCCCTGGAGATCCCCATGGTGTCCCTGGATGTCCCCAGGGTGTGGCTGGAGATCCCCATGGTGTCCCTGGATGTCCCCAGGGTGTCCCTGGATGTCCCCATGGTGTGGCTGGAGGTCCCCATGGTGTCCCTGGATGTCCCCAGGGTGTGGCTGGATGTCCCCAGGGTGTCCCTGGAGGTCCCCATGGTGTCCCTGGATGTCCCCATGGTGTCCCTGGAGGTGCCCTGGATGGACTGGATGTCCCCATGGTGTCCCTGGAGGTCCCCAGGGTGAGGCTGGAGATGCCCTGGATGGGATAACAATCCCCAGGGTGAGGCTGGAGGTCCCCATGGTGGGACTGGAGGTGCCCATGGTGTCCCTGGATGTACCCATGGTGTCCCTGGAGATCCCCAGGGTGTCCCTGGAGGTCCCCAGGGTGTCCCTGGATGTACCCATGGTGTCCCTGGAGATCCCCAGGGTGTCCCTGGAGGTCCCCAGGGTGTCCCTGGAGGTGCCCATGGTGTCCCTGGAGGTGCCCATGGTGTGACTGGAGGTCCCCATGGTGTGGCTGGATGTCCCCAGGGTGTCCCTGGATGTCCCCAGGGTGTGGCTGGATGTCCCCAGGGTGTGGCTGGATGTCCCCAGGGTGTGGCTGGATGTCCCCAGGGTGTCCCTGGATGTCCCCAGGGTGTCCCTGGATGTCCCCAGGGTGTCCCTGGAGGTGCCCTGGCTCTGCTGTGGCCCAGCCTCCAGCAGCAGGCCCGTGGGCAGAGCAGCTTCCCACGCGGGTTTCTTCAGCCCGGGGAGTTAAATCCTGCTCAGCACCTAAAAATATTCATTTTTCTGGCTGCTCTCTGCTGTTCCAGGGGGCAATCCAGCTCCAGCTCCGTGCCTGCTGGAGTTTGGGGAGTGTCAGCACTAAAAATCCCATTTTTTGGGAATATTTTGGGTGTTGGTTTTCCTCCCGATCTGGTTTTGGGAAGCTCCACGTGATCCTTAGAAAAGATAATTTATTTTATACTTTTTTTTTGTGGGGGGGTTTTTGGAAGTTAGCCTGAGGTTGTGTTTATTAAAGGTGTCTTGGTGGTAGAGAAATTTCCTGTAGCCCAGCTGGGGAAAAATGGCATTAAACTAATTTTATTTAATATTACTTAAATTAAATACTTTGGGGTTGGGTTTTCTTTTTAAAGCTTTTTTATTTTTGTTCAATTCACAAATCTTTTCCCACAGATCCCCATTTTCTTTGGGAATAGGACAACAAACTGATGCAGAGCTTCAAAAAAGCTGATATTTTCCTAAATCCTATTTGCTTTCCACATCATCAATTAATAGAATTTGCTAATTTGCACTGACTGGGAGACCTGCTGCCAACCCCAAAAACTTTTTTGCTAGTGGATAAAAACATAGGAAGTTCAGGTGCTCATTCCCATGCCTGTAATGTGGGGAAAAAAAGTAAAAAAATCTGAAATTTTAGGGTGCTGTGAGTGCAGAATCATCTCTGGGGATGAAAGTTCAGGGGGGAAAAAGGGGCTGAGGATTTTTGGTGTGGAAGAGAGGATTTAGGGACGTTCTGCTGGGGAGCAGGGTCTGGCCCACGTGTTGGGGAGTGTTTTGGGATGAAAATTGGCACGAAAATTTAATTGTTCCAGCCCTGAAGTGCTGCAGAGGATTTTGGGGAGCTCCAGAGACTCAGCAATGTCCCAGCTGGGTGATGCTGCTGTGGGGAGCTGGATTAAATTTGGGAATCTGCTTTGAAATCCCAGGAAAAATGAACTTGGGAGGTTCCTGGCCTCAAGAATTCCTGGAGGTGAATTAAATTTGGGAAATCTTCTTTGAAATCCCAGGAAAAAGGAGCTTGGGAGGTTCCTGGCCTCAAGGATTCCTGGAGGTGAATTAAATTTGGGAAACCTGCTTTGGAACCCCAGGAAAAATTAATTTGGGAGGTTCCTGGCCTTAAGGATTCCTGTGGGATTTGTTCTTTGGGGATCCCTCCCAGCCTGGGGGGTTCTGTGGGGTGACTGAAGGGGTTTTTTGGGAGGTTTTTGGGAGTGAAAATTGGAATCTGCCAGCTCCTGCAGAGCAGCTCACCTTCCCTGGAGCATCCCCCAAGCTCCCAGAGAGGTGGGAAGGGATGGAAAGGTCAGCAAGAGGGTTTGAGGTGTGGGGTGAGGTGGTGAGCTCCCAGAGTTGTTATTCCAGTTATTCCCTGCAGGCTTGGAGAAAAAAAAAAAAAAAAAAAAAAACTAAAAAAAGTTGGGATAAATTTGGGATGGATGGAGCCGTGGGGATGGCAGGAAAACATTCCTTGAGCCAGGGGATGTGGGAATTGTCACCTCCACGGGGTTTGTGCTGTGGAAAATCCCCTGGGAAAAGCTGGTTTGTGGCTGGACTCACCTGGGGGCAGGTGTGGGTGTAGCATCCAAACCCCCCCCGTGTCCCAAAGAGGGAATATTGAACCTTCCAGCAGCTGGAAAATGGGATTATCCCAGGAGATTCCAGCCCTGCTCCCACAGCACAGGCTCCCAGGGTTGGTTTTGGTAAGGAAAAGTCTAAAAAAAAAAGTTAAAAATATTCAGAATTCCTTCTGATGCTCCAATAACCTGGAGCTGAGTTGGAGCTGGGTGATCTTTCCAACCCAAACCATCCTGGGCTTCTCTGGCTCCTTGCCCTGCTGGGTGGATTTTTTTAAGGAATTTTGTTTTTTTAGGAATTGCAGGAGGAGGAGGAGATTCTTCAAACCAAAACTGGGAAAAGCCTGGAAAGGAGGGGGTTTGGTGAACCCCCACTCCCCCAGGAGCTGCCGTGGAGGGTTGTGGGTTAATTCCTTGTCACTCCTGAACATTTTAACTCCTGCATTTCTCACTCCAAGGCTCAGGCACGGAGCTGCTGCAGGAGGGAGTGGTGGTGTCCAAAATCTGACTGAAAATCAGGATTTTTAGGCATAAAATGTATTTTTTGTGGGGCTTTTTTTCATTCTGATTTCCAGATTTCACCCCTCAGATGAAGTTGTCAGCGGTGAATTTGTACAGATCCTTTCCCAAAGTAACTTCCTCCCTCTCATCTCCTTTTACTTTAATACTTTATCCAATAATATTTTAACGATTTAATTTTATTTTAACCATAGGAATTTCAGAGTTGCAAAGGCTCTTTCTAAATTTATTGACTTGGATAAACCCCCCCTCTTGTTGATACCGTAAATATTAATCTTGATCTAGATAAATTCCTTATTTTTGCACCGGAATCCCTAATTTTTTTGCAGTATAAAGTGCACTTTTTCATAAAAAAAAAAAATCTTGTATTCCTGTCTGACGAGTGTCTTATGTGCTGAAAGAGAAATTCTGCCAAAATTCAGAGCTGAGGGTGTTGTTCATTCTTCGAGGTGTTCACTGAAACCTGGGACCTGCTTCTGCTCAGTCTATTTTTAATGCAAAACAGGGAAGGAAATGCCTCCCCACAGCTAGGAATTGATGATGGGAAATGAAACTACCACTGCCCTTACAGAAAACCCCGTTTTACTTCAAAATCCACCTTCAGGTTTTGGGCTGCACCAGCCCCTTCCATCACAAATGTTCACTTTGATGATCAGGGCGTGCCTTGTGCTGGGCTCACCTTTGGGAGGCAGGATGGGGCCGTGGGGATGGAATTTTTCCCGATGGGTGGGTGGGAAAATTGGGCTGGAAACCCCCCTGGATTGGTGGGAATCCCCATTTTTTATCTGTGGGTGCTTCCTCAGAGGCTGCACTGGGTTCCCCAGGTGTGCACGGACCTGCCAGAGGCAGCAGGCAGAATTTGCTGCTCCGTCCTCGCTTTTGGTTGGGTTAACCCAAATCCTGAGGGTTTTGGTGCTCCATCCTCATTTTTGATTGAGTTAACCCCAATCCTGAGGGTTTTGGTGTTCCATCCTCACTTTTGGTTGGTTTGGCCCAATTCCTGAGGGTTTTGCTGCTCCATTCTCATTTTTGGTTGAGTTAACCCAAATCCTGAGAGTTTTGGTGCTCCATTCTCATTTTTGATTGAGTTAACCCAAATCCAGAGGATTTTGCTGTTCCATCCTCGCTTTTGGTTGGGTTAACCCAAATCCTGAGGATTTTGCCATTCCATCCTCACTTTTGGTTGGTTTGGCCCAAATCCTGAGAGTTTTGGTGTTCCATCCTCGCTTTTGGTTGGGTTAACCCAAATCCTGAGGATTTTGCTGCTCCATTCTCATTTTTTGTTGGGTTAACCCAGTTCATGAGGGTTTTGCTCTTCCATCCTCATTTTTGATTGAGTTAACCCAAATCCAGAAGATTTTGCTGCTCCATTCTCATTTTTGGTTGGGTTAACCCAATTCCTGAGAGTTTTGGTGTTCCATCCTCATTTTTGGTTGGGTTAACCCAGCTCCTGAGCATTTTGCTGCTCCATCCTCACTTTTGGCTGGGTTAACCCAAACCATGAGGGTTTTGCTCTTCCATCCTCATTTTTGGTTGAGTTAACCCAAATCCAGAAGATTTTGCTGCTCCATTCTCATTTTTGGTTGGGTTAACCCAATCCCTGCGGGTTTTGGTGTTCCATCCTCACTTTTGGTTGGGTTAACCCAAATCCTGAGGGTTTGGCTGTGTCCTTTTGGGGCGAGGTGTTCCTCCTGACCCTTTCCCAGCCTCAGCTCCTGCGTGTGTCCCTCGTGAAGCCACCCCGTGTCTGTGTGGGCATCTCAGGTGTCACCTCGTGCTTGCCAGGACTCCTGGAGCACCAACCCCAGCCCGTCAGGGTTTCTGTTGTGTTCTTGCAGTGCCTTGTAAATCCCAACAATCCCGATGTCCCCGAGGGGCTCGGGGGTCCCAGCTTCTACTGCCAGACTGGACTTTGTAACTGAGGATTTGAGCCCCTGTTTCAAAGGAAATAAAAGAGTTTGACTCTGACTCCAAGCGTCCTCTCAGCCTTGTTGGTTTTAAAGGTGGTGGTTGGGACAAAGCTGTTCCCCTGTCCACCCTAAATCCTGTCC